GCATGCATATGATTCACTGCCAACGTTAAGCGTTGTCTTTACAAACGCAACTGCAAGTTTCGTTTCAATCAAATTATTTTTAAATGCAAATCGGTTTTCTTTGACAGTCTCCGAACTGTTTTAGTTAACATTTTATTACTTTTGTGGAGAAATGTTATCGCCATGTGTTATTTTGAACTGTCTATTTTGACTGAACTGTACTTTGTTACATTAGCTATAATGCTCTGGCCTTGAGGAACTAGGCACACATATTGGGGGCAGCGATGAAAATCATTTTGAATATCACCAACCTATTCTTCTGTATTTTTGAATAGAAACCCTGGCAAGTACCCTCATCAGCTCAATACAAAAACAATTTCTCCATCATTTTTACTCTCGTTCATTTATTGAACTGTAATATATTTGAATGAGACTCCAGATTTTAGGTCGAAACTATTCGAAACTCTGGCGAGCTATCTTTCGCTAAATCTCTGTAACTCGTTAAATAACGAATTCGTCCTATTAACATATAGAGTCTTGTTTGCACATCTCTGTGCGATATCGCCTACAATGTGGTGGTTGCTTTCTCAATCATCTTAAAAATATGTTTTGGTTCATATCCTCTAAAAATTACAATCCTACTACGGGCCGTCGCTGCGTATATTCTTCAATAAAACAATTCTTAGAAGCAATTAACATTCTAGCTTGATTTTTATGCTATATGTTGGTAGGTTCCAGGCAGATCATTGATTGGAAAAAATGTTATATAAAAAAAGATAGATGCATGGCATTTTTTTAAAGAAAATCGACAATAATCGTGTTATTTTTGTAGATCTTACAACTTTTTTGGATTAAATAATTCCAAATTATCAGTTTTTGATTGTTTGCTTTTGTGCTGATAGCGGATCTATACTTATGTGTAATTCTTGATGTCGTCATTTAAGGTCATTATATAATATTTGCTAAGTATGCTTGCGATAACTTCTATAAGCCGTCATCCGCCAAACCGTACTGTATAATCACCAAGATTATGGTCAGGTTGAAAAGCCGCTTTTTCACACATTTGTAGCCCCTGCGATTACTGTTTCTACTCCATGATATTTCATTGTGACCTTCATCATCTAAAGGGCTGTCAATATATGTGCTGCTGTTTTGCCCTGTTTCGTTATTATCTTTAACAAGGTTCGCATAAGCCATTGACAGAGCACGACTTATAACATGCTTGTCTCCATTGCTACAAAGGAGCGGCAATATTGGATCAATAGAGCAAAAGAGTTTAAGGTAATTAATAGATTAATTAAATGATTTTATTTTCGACTTACACTCAATTTTGCTTGTTTGCTTCGGGAATCGAAATTGGCAATTATTGATTGCGCAAAGCCTTTTATGTCTTTCGAATGAAGTTAAACAAGTAATAGTTTTCCTTGCTTTTTGTTGACATGTTACGTTTTCACAGACCTACAGCACTTATTAGCCCTTCGGGAGCCTAGTCTTCGAAGTCAAAACACTAGACAAAACTAATAGAAAACCAAAAGGTGCTTTGAAATCGGGTCTGTTAGTAACGAGGAATGTTTTTTTGGTGCCTTGTCCGGACATAGTGAGTTTAAAGCACTTATCTCACCCATATATAGCGCAAAAGAAACAACCTTCGTTTACTAGTTTAAAATTGCTCTGCTTCCCATCGGCTGAAATTGATAAGACATTGAAAAATAGAAGGAGTTGGCTTTTTTATTACGGAATTTTTAAATACCTGGGCGTTATCTCAATTTAAAGACCCTTGATATATGTATGCATATGCATATATATGCTCGTATGTATGCATACACATATGTATCTATGTATATATATGTATACATATGTGTATATATATACAAGGATATACACATACATAGGCATATACATATCATGTGGGCAATATATACACATATGAAAGTGCATGCGGTTATATATATATGCAAATTTATATGCCTCATGTATACATGAATACACAGGCCACGTAATTGCTGTGTCTACACATGTATATTGGTGCCATATTTTGATATACGTATCATCCTCCTTTAGATAAGTCTGCGTTAACGTTTCTTAAAAGCTACTTTCTGAAAACTTTTTTCTGTACTTATCGTGCAACCTCATAGGGTGGGGGTAAGAAAAGACGTTTTCGAAATTCATCCCAAACTTCACACATCGTAGGTGCTCTAGCGTCAGCATTGAAGCACTGCCTTGTGTCGGCTTCCGTCTTACAGATTTTCTGGCACTCTGAAAAGGATGGATATGGAGTAGGCTCTTTTTTGCAGCCACTAGGTGAAAATAGTCTTTGGCATTTTGGGGGATTACGTGGCGGATCACACCCATGTTTGTAAGCCCTGAAACAGCATAGTTTTCTCTGTTTCGGATGCGCTGGATAAAGACCTTGACATGGCATTAACCATCTGTATTTATTTGACATTTTGCAAGCCAATAGGCATATTTGTTTTCCTAAACCCTTTTTCCTGGGTAGTTCTTCCTTTTTTCTTCTGGGCAACGGTTTTATCGGATAGTCATCGCAAGTGCAGCGCATTTCTATTTCTAATGTACTAAGCGGAGGACAAGATACCCAGGTTTGCCTGTAGTTGCGTCGTTTGTCACTCGATTTGTAGCAGATCTCATCCATACGCACTGGCAAATCTGGGCACGTTGAAGCACAACAATCGGGCTGTTTCCACATACCAGTTTCCTTTCGACCGGAACGATGGTATCTTGTTGGGCGAGAATATTTTTTCATCGGCACATTTTTTATTGCACTTTCAGCGCAAACCTCTGGATAGTTTGGATCACATTTGGGTTCAATAACTTTGGCGCAACCAGAGGGCGCGAACCAGTCCCTGCCCGATGCAAACCTTACCGTATCTTTTAGAAATGAGCTCACTGCAACTGGTAAACGGAAACCAACATAATTAGCATATTTCGTAAACATTGTTCACTGATAAATTTATTAAATTCTACGATTTTCTAAGGTTTTTTTCTTAAAAAGGAATTTTTGAATTTATAAAATGGGAAAAGAGAAAAATCTGGAAAGAGGTAATGTAAGATTTTGTGTATGGCCGCGAAAATAAATTGCCTAAAATTTCAAGTTACCGATTTATGTAAGTAAACATATTTTAAATTAAAATTTTGACAAAGTTGACAAAGCACTTGACGAGTGCAAACTTAATAATAATACTAACTTGATTTGAACTTCATTGAAAACAGAAGTTTCGTATGCGCGAAAAATCATTTACGAAACATGTGGATTTATATTGTAAAATTTAGCACCTGCATATATAGTCCCGTCCAACGAACGTGGACGGTGGAAAATAGCTCAGCATTTCAACAATATGTGGGGCTTCCCTCCTCGCATTGGTACAATTGATGGCACCCACTGTTGTTTGCCACCCCCCAAGGCTTGGATCGCTCTCTTTTACAATTATAAGGATAAGTGTGTATGTTAAAATACGTCTAATTTATTGCACTTTTGTATATCGCTTAAAAAGCGAGAAATATATGCACTAATAATGCCCATACAAACGTTGTACTTACTTACTGTTACTTACAGCTCGGGTGCTAGGAAATCTATATTTTTTAAATGCCTTGCGCAGCAGCTATAGGAAAAAAGATTAACGATTTTTATATCTACTGCTGTAAGATGGGCGTGTACTAATTTTGTTTTTGTCCATAATGTATGTAGCACCCAAAAGGAAGCTTCAGAGATCCTATAAAGTATATATATTCTTCATCAGTGTGAAATTCTGAAAGTTGAATTAGCCATGTATGTCCGTCTGTGTGGTGTGTGTTACTTAGAAGCCTGAAATATATTTTTTAATACTTAAACATGTGCCTAATAACTCAACGAAAAGTGATAGTCTGTCTATCCATCCCAAAAAAATTGTTAAAAAAACGTTTTTTTTTAGTTTGTTACAGTGGCTTCCATACTTAAGCAATTCAAAACGACTTTATATGCATAAGTTTGCCTCTAAAGGAAAAGATAATTTATTTCTCTCATTTATCTTAATTGACGGTTGTGAAACGTCACGTGGCCAAGTGATTTTAACCTTTTTTGCCAACGCTTCTGCTAACTTTATTAATTTTAATTCTTCTTCCTTTTCTTCGCATTAAATAACTGGTTGTGAATTTATTCCTAGAATAAATATATCAGACAAACAGATGTTGCAAAGTTTAAGATCGCGTTTTCCCGGCTCCAGACCGGCCTGCGTTTTACATTCTTAAAAGCCAGATAGTAAAATTTCGTCGCAATCTTACATCGAGTTTCAATCGTTCTCCGGAAACAGGCAAGTTTCCTATTTGTTGGATGGCTTGTGTTTTTTTCGCACTTTATAAAAGCTATAGACGCATAGCTACGTGAACGCATTCTAAAATCTCGAATCAGAAAGTCAGGTCAGCTTGCACCAATCACCTTACATTCTTTTGCCTTACTTTTAAACCCTCAGCCAAAGGCATACAAATGAATGTTGCCTACGTCGATTTTAGTAAGGACCTTATAGTTACAAATATTTATTACGGAAATTATGCCGCTTAGACCTTCCCTCGTACTCAGTTAAGTGCTTATTCTCCTATCCTCATAGTAGATCCTTAAAGATGCTTTTCAACTCATTCCAGCCCGACAATATTTCTACCACATCAAGAATGCCTTAAAGCGTTTAATTCTATTGGCTTGTACTTTAATTATAAGCTCATTGCCAGCGAGAGTGGAGCCGCGCCCCTACGGTTTTCCGGAGGTCGGACGTGGCGATTTAGATCCCTTTGCGCGCGGAGGTCATGGCAACTTATTTCCATTTCCATCACATCCCGATTTTCGAACCGAGCCTGGTGGCAGCGGTGGTATGCGGCCACGCTTTGATGCTCTCCGATCACTAACGGCTTGCATCATTCGTCCCCTGGACAAAACCTAATATAATCTGAACATCGTTGGAAAGGCTATTTAGTAATAGAAGATTCATGGCGTACTAATTTCATTTTTTCACAGGGCATGGTTTGGCCACAGTAGCTACGCAAACTTTCACTTTATTAACCTCATTTATGACATAGTGTAAAAATGTTGTGCTCTCGAATAATAGTTAAATTACATAAAGTCGTGTTTTGTTTTTAATATTTTGTAAAAAAAGGCAATTGAGTACCGCAAACCGAGAAAGCAATCGTATTGCAGGTCTTAAAGTGATAGAGAGCACTTCCATCGACGAAACAGGAAATCCATGAACGCACCTCCGCCCAAATACGGCAGTTTTTAAGGCGATTTTAATACGAACACCTGGTAGTGACGTAAGTATGACGCGGCCTTTTCGTGAAAATGATGCGGTGATGTGTCACCAAGCAGTTACCATAAATGATTTAAAACAACGCAGACAAAAGATTGGGATTTGCATATGAAGGTTTTTCTTTTATGATGTAAATATCATAGGATATAAATAACGCGGTCCTTAAGAGCGCCATTTAACCTCAGCAGAAATTCTCATTATCATTCATTGGTAGCAATTGAGTTGATATGAAAGATATGAAAGAGCTAGTCTGCATTTGTTGACAACTGAGAAAATATTGAAAGAGCGAGTCTGTACTTGTTGACAACCGCCATTGAGAAATTGAAAATTAAAGCATTGTCTGCTTATAACAGGCCAAAGGGGGATGTCAACATACTTTGAAAGCAATTTTAAATCTTTTTTAACCCACTTAAAGGAAATTTCTCAATGAGGCTTTCTTTCTTAATTCTCTCAAATCAATCACTAACTTTTTTTTAATGAGTTTCCTCTGATATTACAAGAAAAAGTGCATTATATGAGTTGGAATTTACAGACGATTTTATTATATTATCATATAAAAGCTTATAAATTCGGCTATCAATTTCATCCAGAAGAGAATGTGGGAATCTGTAGGTTTTTTGCATAAAAATAAGTTTTGTTACCCTCTTGCAGATTTCGAGAACAGATTTTACTAGTGTTTTTCATACAAATGCAACTGGCATGCTTTCTCTCAATGATTTCTTATAAATTTGCGTGGAACACTTTCTCTCAATGATTTCTTACAAATTTGCGTAAAACGCTTTCTCTCAATGATTTCTTAATGAAAAGACAACCAAAAAAATTTTTAAATTTGATAGTTGAAATTATTTCACCAGTTCCCAAACTTAAGAAAATACCCAATATATTTTTTCATCTGATGAGTGTCTTCTTCGTCTCTTTGATAATAGAAAGATTGGCATCAAATATATTTGCCTTCTCCGTAGTCAATTATGGAAAGGTCGGCAATTCTTTTTCCTTGTTTGTTATTATTCGTCGATCATGTTCAAATATTGACGAATGATAAGTAAAATTTATATGTAATGCTCCTTGCATCCAATTATTGAGGGATGGTGCGATATACCTTTCAAGGATGATGTTTCAAATTGGGAGATGTAGAAAATTACAAAAAAAATTAACAGTATATATACGGTGCTCTACGTCGTTCAGTTGAACGAAATAAAATTCAGATAAATAACATAACATATAAAAACAAATTAACATAACAAATATTTGCTCTTACTTATGTTATAAACGGCAAGCTACATTTTCAAACTATTCAAACTATTGTCAAATATTGCATTTACATACTTTCATAGGGGCTGGTAAAAAAAAGCTTCGCTTATGTTCCCACGTGTGGCGCACTAATTTATGGACATAGTATATGTAAGTTATATATATCAGTACTTATAGACTATATTTATCTCCTATTTTATGAACGATATGAATGCAAGCAAAGTTCCTACGGGTGTCAATAGAGACAAGCGCTTATATCGACTTTTAAGCATTTCCGCTGAAGTTCACAAAGCTTTATAAATCTTTATATATATATTTTATCTTCGCAGGTTCGTTAATTTGTTGCCATTTTTACTATTTCAACAATCTTGGATTTTTTTTATAGGTTTTGGATTCATCTAGTGATCTTTTGAGTTTGGCTCGGTCTGATAGTGCCTGAGGAAGTGGCCTATTAGGTGGCAAAAGGTGAATTACTTGCACGTTGGATGTGCTTGTCCCATTCTTTATTCGCACAGCTGGGGCAAGCTTCGAGACAGTGCTTTAGGTATATTATCATCATATTTATAATAAACATCATTTGTTATTAAACCAATACAGTCAATGCAATCTTAAGTATTTGCAAAGTTTTTTGTTTTTGCGTTAGGAAAGCTTGATAACGAGGACCGCAAGTCGTGCCAGGCATGCATATGATTCACTGCCAACGTTAAGCGTTGTCTTTACAAACG